AAATTATTAACATCTGCTGCACAGACATCAGGAGAAGTCATGCATGCCTTAATGGCCCCTTGTTTAGTCATTTATGGGTAAGCATGTCATTATTTCAGGATTTATGATCAACCAGATAGAGAATGCATTCTCCCGGAGTTTCACCTAGCAATTATTTATTTTGATTTTTATGGCAACAAAGTTTCCTATCCTCCCTCACTTTCCAATTAATGCTGATGATCAAGCATGTCTTAGTGCTTCAGCTGCTTTTGCTTTTTTGTTTTTGTTTTTGTTTTAAATCCCCATTGGAATTTATCTTTTATCTTTTGCGATCGGCCTGTTTTAGGAAAAAAAAGTCTATTTGTTATGAAAGCGCTACTTTCAGACTAAAGCCACGCCGAATAAAGACGCTACCTGAGATGTAGCACAACTATGACTTAAACAGATGTGCAATTTTTGTGCTTCATTTCTGTTGCTGCAAATTTTGTTTACTAAATTTGGTTTTGCACATTACTGTGTACTGACTCATTGTTATCCAGTAACAGTTGGATACTAGATAACTTACAGTTTTGACTATGCAGGAGTAAGCTATGCACTAAGCAGTACAGTATAACCAAATTTACATTCATTATGAAAAATAATTTAAAGTTAGAACATAACAGAAATAACAGAACACTGGTGGTTTATTAACTATGTATTTGTCAAGGCATGATTGAATTCTTGTTTTATGAGTGTGCACAAATCATCTGAAGCCACAGTTCTCTCTCTCATCAAACTATTAGTATGTCTTCACAGTGAGCTCTGTGAACTGAAATGCTCAGCTATCTTTGTATTTGGGCAGCACACAGCATTTATATAGTTAACAATAAATCTGAGGTCCTATAAATAATCACTTAAATATGACCCTGTGGACAGTCACAACAAACTGACTCAGGGTCCATGTGAAGATACTAGTGTAAGCATTGTAAAGGATACACAGGTGATAGTCACTCGCTGGCCTGCAGGTCTAAAACAGCTTTGATTTGCATCAAACAATCAAAATGTGCAAATGTCTGGCGTGTCCATTATCCGTCTTTTGGTCACTAGTTTTGAAATTTGAATTAACATGATTTGCAGATACAGTATAGATTAACACCCTCAAATATTATTCAAATGAGGGTGCATATTATTAAATGTGGCGTTCAATGCATGCTTTCACACCCTCGCAGAAGCAGGGATGCCAGTAGATTAACCTATTAGCCTGAGTGGACTTCTAATGGCAGGTGGTTTTCTTCAAGCTGCAGTAATAATTCAAACACTGCCACCTGAAAAGTAGCGGTGTGCAGCTAAGCAGTTTTAAGTATGACATGGCAACAATGATAGCACACTAAAAAGAGGCTTATGCATGAAAATGCAGTTAAAAAAATATTCAGTCCTGCTACAAAAATAACACAGCTGAATACAAAAAGGGAACAGAAGTCTCGCTTTGCTCTCTTATCTCTTATCTTTTCCCTCACAACTGATCCCAACTGATCATGGCAGAAATCTGCAGCAGGTTTCTTCCTTTTAAAGGGGAGTTTTCTTTCCCACTGTCGCCAAGTGCTTGTTCATAGGGGATCGCCTGCTTATTGAGGCGGTTTTCTCTATAATTAGCAGGTTGTTACCTTACGGTATAAGATATAAGGCTATTGTTGTGAATGAGCACTAGGTCAGCTGAACTGATTCAGTCATCATAAAGAGCCAAGAACAGAGAAAAGAAAGCATTGTGAAGTCTGAGGTCATGAAATGAAAATATCCCATAACAGAAAAAACATAATCAGTTTACTTTAAAAATAACAATAATTTAAATTTTTTTAGATAAACATCATTATTGTAAAGGCTTGATTGGCATCTGATGTTGCACATATCATATTTCCTGTATGCATGAAATAGTACACTTTGATTATTTAGTAATTTCCAATTGCAGAAAGAACACAGTATATCATAAATACTATGCACAACTGAATCTCACAGTCATCTTGAAACACCTCTGGGCACTTATTGGAGCAGTTATTTGAAGCTTTAATTTAAATTAACTTTAATTTCAGCGGTTAGCAGGACATAAAAACTCTAAGTAGAGAAGTGACAGTCAAATCTGATAAAAAGCAATTAAAAACTTTGCTGACTTTGCCCTAAAATAAGATTTTAAAAGAATTTCCCCTTGAAAGTTATATTTCTGTCACTATCTTTGCTCCCACCGTTTGAATTCTGAATATTTTGAGTACCATATCTCTGTCTTATAACATTCCTGCCATTAATAATATGAAATCTGCACACAGCATTGACTGCCTGATTAATACTGCACATTTCTACATCCATGGGTTGGTGTTGTTTGTTGATGTATATGAAAGGTGCCAAGTGCATCTTTAAAAGCAACTAAATAACCAGCACGAAGACAGGCCCACAAGGAGAGGGCACAAACAAGTAAAAGATATGAACTCTGCAGGTTATTAATATGTACCTTTCCCCTGGCACACGCACATCCACAGGCTGGCACACATTTCTGCAGTAAGAGCATCTTGCACAAACCTTTCCTGACATTTTGTCCCTTTGCCCTGGAGCAGCCCCGAGGAGGCTGCCCCAGATCAAGGCCATCACATCACTCGGTCCCTGAAGCTACCACTACAACAGTCACTGAATGTTGTAGGGCCTGAAAACAGCCTTTACATCAACAGATTATGAGTCTTGCTCCAAAATGAGATTTGACATGAGGTGCACCTGCTGCTCCAAATTGACTGATGGGACAAAAGCTGAAACAAATGCCTCTCTGCAAGACCTCACGTTGCTTATGGTCTGTCTACAATTCGAAAAATTTGATTTTATTTATCAAAATCAACAGCGATCTTTAGAGAATCGAATCACCTTTGGCAAGCTGACGAGCACAGACGAGGCCTCTCTCTGACTTGAACCTAATTGAGGATGCACAGAGGGTGTGTGGGGGGTTTTGTTGCAAAAGCCACCATCTGTTGTCAGTGCGTGGTGTTGCTCACCATGACCAATTGTGTCATTAGATTATTGAATAATTAGAGGACGGATCATGTCTACTCAGAAAACATGCCTTTCAACTGTATTTGAGTGTTTGGCTAATTTCTTGAACACAAAGAGTTACATGATATCTGCAGGAATACATTTGGAGGGGGGGACATTAAAAAAATATGTAACTGAGCAAAGTTTAAGAAAAACTGCAGCTTTGATTAACTCAAATGACAATAAAACATTTAAGAGTGGGTGTTAGCGAAAAAACATTTATTTTTTTACACTATTTCATTTTGTAGTAAAACTCTTCATATGACAATCCAAATCCCAGTTTCCCTGTGCAGACACCGTATCTCCCTGTGAGTCGAGTGTCCCCACTGAGCTGAAGGAGGACTTTAAATGAATCCTACGTAGCTCAGGGCATTTAAGAATCTTTTATTAATGAAGATTGCACTTTGTCTTAGGTGAAATCGTCTCCAGAATGTCAAGGGACTGCCTTTGAAGCCACCCACTGCTACAACACCAAACTAAGTGAGTTTTCTCCCACTTTAAATCATAGATTCACTGTTAAACTTTAAAAAAAACTGGGCTTTAAGAACTTTCTTCGTGGCCAGGTGGGACAGCAGAATGAAAATAAGGATATGTATGAAATCCCAGCCGCTTATAGAGAAAATGAGATTAGAGTGAAGAGGCAGCTCTCGGATTTAAGTCTGAGTCGGCCACAAATCTCAGGTGGAAGAGAATTGTCCCAATATGAGATATCCATCATTTGGAAAGATTGACACCTACAGTACTCCTACAAAATGTTTATTGGCATGAAAGTAAAACATATTATGGTCTGCTTTAAAAGTTACAAGTCATCTTGAGACAACTACTTCCCACGTAGCTCTGTTTTTGAAAACTCAAGCCTATAAAATCTTTTTTTTCAGTTTAACATTATCTGTACATGTCCTGAAAACATCTGGAGACCTCCAGGAGTCATCGACTGTCACAAAGCTGCGTCATGCTGGAAATGAAGTTAGGCAGTTATGACAGCCAACTGCTCTATAAGCGGCTGTATCTCACCTTAACATTAGTCATGTAATTTACTTGAGATGGAAACAGACAAGACAAAACTATCAATTAACTCACAGAAGAAAGTCTAAAAAACACTATTTTGCTGCTGTATGTCAGATCCTATCAGAACATTTTCAGCAGCTAACCTTTGCCCCTGCTTATGCCACTCATGTCTTAGCATATATTCCTGTCGCAGAGGAAACTGCTGGTTTATCTAAATGTTAATGTGGAGAAAAGTGAATTTGTTACGTTGTGACCAAAGTGTACAACAAAACGGAGCATGGTTACTTATGGCTGTAACAGCTTTACAGTGACATTTGTCACTATAATGAGTTCAAATGTGAGTCCGTTTAAGTGAAAAGCTAGAGCTCTGACAGATGGACTGGACTAATTATAAATAATACCACTGGGGCTGAATGACTACTTAAAGAAAACAGGTTTGGGCAATTCAATTCGGTACATAAGAAAAGAAAACTTTGAGTCAGAGTTAATACAGTTTAGTATTTTCTGTTTCGGTTGAACTTCCATTGTTTAACAATGTTTGGTTTTAGTTTTTAGATAGAACATTTATTTTAAAAAGAAAATATACCAGTACTTTTGGAGTACTCCATGCACACATGGACTAGCAACTGACAAAAACTAGTCCTCTGTTCTAGTTAACTACATTACTTTCACAGCTAGTTTTAGTTTTTAGTTTAAGGTAAGTATAACTTCTTTGGCAATAATTAACATAAAAGATAATAAAACAAAATAATCACCGTTTAATTTTTTTAAATATAATTTTTACAAGTGCACGCTAGTTGACATTTCATGGTAGCTGTAATTACCGGAAGTGAAGGTCAATTAAAAATGGTGGTTCATCTTCCCTTGAAGTGAAGTCGTAGATGTGGAGACACTGTGGCAAGTTAAAGCAAATCCCACAGGTGAATAAACGTTTTAAGGGTTTAAATAAAACGTTATTAAAGTAATCTGCACACAGCAAAGGCAGCTTTAGCTGAGTTAGCCAAACGGAGCTGTAGCTTTACTGTTGTTACGAGTCAGATTTAATTTGAACTCGGAGCCTTCACCGGATTTAAAGGTGGATTTACACTTTACAGCGAGAACCAGCCGACATGCCACCTCTGCGTGCTGGGCTGCTGTGCACAGGTATGCGGCCAAAACTAATTCCCCGTTTTCAAAGAGTGAGATTGTGGGTCATATACAGTGTGTGTGCTCTGTGTACTAGGTATATAAGAAATTCCTACCTTCATGAGGCTGAATGTTAGCTGTTTTTTGGGAGTACTTGTGAAGAGGTGTTGATTCATGTTAGTACTGCAGGCTGTAACATAGCTGGAGGTGCTGTGCTGTGTTGTGTCTAATTGATACAGACGAGGTGGATGAAATTCAACCAACGCAGCATGTTTAATCTCAATACAGTGCTAATATTATCCAAAACTCCCAGTTACTGCCATTATGTTTTCTATACTTGTTACTAATTGCACTGCTAATCCTGCCATTATTAGCTTTTAAACATGTCGTTTGTGTGATTGACTGCTTCCCCTGAAACTGTATGTTACCAACGTAATCCTCAGATCTTTTACCAAGGAAAATTTATCTGTGGACGCAGGTAAGAGGTGGGCTGAACATTTACAGACCCAGTAATCAGCCATTTCAGCTTTTCTGGTTCCATTGTGTTTCCATTGCACTCACGGGGTGATGTAATAATATTGTGTCGCCTTTGCCCTCGATTTACAGCCAGACAAAACAACAATGGTGGGAACCAAAATGGGTTCTGCATAACTAGGTCTGTGTGGTGAGTTTTAGACTGTTGGTGGGGCTACGTGAGAGAGCAGCAGTCTGCTGTTGCTTCTGATAGATTGATGCCCCCTCCTCAAAATTCAGCTGTTACTGAATGTAACCACAGCCCTGACAGGGAGTTGTTTGTTTATTTGTTTGTTTGTTTGTTTGTTTGTCTTATGATGCTCTGAGCTGCTTACACTGATCTTAGAGCAGCAGTTCCTAATGTCGCCTGCTCTAAAACAAATACCATAATGTTATAATATTCCTGCAAAAGCATAATAATATAGGCCTACTTAAAGTGTGCAAGGTTAAAGTCTATTTGTGAGCAGTTCATCATAATTACTGATGCATGAAAATCTTCATTAATATAAATGAATGTTCATTAATTCCATTAATATTGAGGCTGGTAAAGGTGGTGATTATAGCTATGATTTTTATATTAACTGCGAAAATAAAGTCTCACTTTGTTATGTCCAACAAGACTGGTCAGGTTAGGTAGCACTGGCCGGTCGACCACACGAGCAGCGACCTGAACCAAAACAATGGAAAATGCACAACAAGACAAAACTACCTATACAGAGTCCATGTATGGTATGTAAAACAGTCTTCAATCATAGCTTTTTGCACACAATTCAACATTTATTTAATGTTTAACTTGTACAAAACAGAAAAGTTAGGTTAGATTTTAATGATAAATATTTAGATTTAAATCAAATTTTAAAAACTCCGGTGTAATCAGTCAAAACAAACACACAAAAAAGGCGACACCACATTGAGAACTGAGTTGATTTCAATCTAAAAGTTGGCAGCCGTGTCCCAAGTTAGTGCGAGTGTTGCTCACTACGCTGGTTTGCAACCTTTCCACAATACATGCTTTGATTCTTCACTCATTCTCATATTCTTCATTCTTCATTTGACAGTTTGTGGTTTATGTTGTAATCACCTATGTTGCACCTGCAAATCAGGAAATAATGCAGACAGTGCAGTGACCTTTTCACTTACCTTTGATTTGGTTTTGGCAAAAGCAGACAGTGTGACCCTGTTTGTGCTCAGCTTCAGTGAAAAATTTCAGCCACCTGTTTCTCGCTGGTCATAAAAGCTCAGAGTAGCTGATCTGGTTTTTTTTGTTCCCCTTGTGTTGCGGTAAAAGGTCCTACCCTTTACTGTGTGTGCCGTTGTTTAAGCTTTGCAAAGTCAAATTGCATTCATTGTAAGTGACTCCTGAAGGCAAATGTAAAACAAAAACAATGTCTGACAGTAATTCGAGCTTTCATTCATGTATTAAAATCCTGTGTTGTGACATTCTGGTCATATGCTGAGCTATTTTTTTTCTAAACCAGTTTATTTAACATGGTGAATTAAAGTGTCAGGTCTAATGTCTGTTATCTTGTCATCCCTGCTGCCCTGAGATGCATTCGACAGGCTCTCTGGCTCCTAGTCACATGGGTTTTATGGCATTTCAAGTCTCTCGTTGAAATGATTTATGTGGTCGGCACAGATGTTGCTCACATCCTGATTTTTCATTCAATTACTGAATCTATCTTGCTGTTTTAATTATGGCTATGAAAAGTCCCATATTCCTCCTCTTCAGCTGCACTCCACAGCCCATATTAGGGCCCTGAGATAATCTGGGCATGCGTGTGGCTGTCAGGTACTTGTTACTTGTTTCCTTTCTTCTTTGTTTGTTGTTGAGTTGGCAGTTTGTCGTTGAAGAAAGTTTCTTGTGCTGGTAGACGTAGATTAACTTGGCTCGAGCTTTTAATGATCCACACTGCAACATGTCAGGTCCTGTCATGGGTTTTTGTTAGGTACGAGCTTCCTTAAAGCTGTAAAAATGTTGCAATTTAGGTGTGGCTCTTATTTACCTACATAAGGAAAATAGTCCACTTAGTGATAAGAAGCCTTTTCCAAAATGTCAAAACTTTTTTTATTTTTAATCACAATCACATTTCTGTTGACTTATCTGTTGACTTGACGGATGTTATGTGATTGAGGGAAGTGTTAGGGTTTTTCAGAAACTAGATGCCTTAAAGTTCTGCTGTTATAAGCTTTTATATTTAGAACAAAGAAGGCCAGGTTGTAACACCAAAAAATTTGTCAACCTCCACCCTCAGCAGAGCACTGGGCAGTGGTTAACTTTGTCCAAATAAATGTTAAATGATTTAGCCTAGTCGATTTTTAATGAGTAGAAATAATTAATCAGATACTGACTGAAGAGTTCATAAGTCATAAACTTTGCCTTGTTTTTTTTGTTTGTTTGTTTGTTTTTTCTGTCTACCTTCTTTAAAGCTTTTGGAGCTGTTTTTATGTGTGTGAAATTGCTACGAAGACTCCCTGATACACTGATGGAAACATTGTTTCTCTAACCCTGTCCTTAACAGTTGCCAGCAACCTTGTGGTTTTAAGAGGTTAAATGTAGCAATATTATTCTTCAAAAATAGTATACAGGTAAAAAAAAAACTAATTTCTTTGCAAACGTAATTTTTCATCACGTCAGATTCATTTCATTTATGATTAGTCAAAGTTTGGAGTAGTTTGTAGTGTTTACATTTTTTTTCTTCTTTTTTTGTCCTACAAATACTTGCCGTCATTTTAATCTCTAAACTTTGTAAAGTGGCAGTTTTTGGTTTTGTTTTTTTGTTTTTTTTTCTGTCATTTTGCTTCAATTAAGGCTGCCACTTCTTTCAAACAGGGGCCAACTTGTTTGGAGGCACAGCTCATTCACGTCTTTCCAAAGTTTGTAACACTGCATCCTGTTCATCATTCTCACTTCTTTGAAATGATATTCAAAACATCCACAGAGCATTACTCTTGACAGTCAAATGGCAGCTTGCATGGCATAACAAGATGACACATCTGAGGTTGATAAGGGAGATAACAAGATGCACATCCTCAGTTCTCGGAAGTGCTCGCCAGCAGTCGTAGTGGCGCTGCACACATCTGAAGCTCTCTCCCCGGTCCTCGGAGTATCAGCTTGGCGACACTCTACCTGCTTTCCTTTCTCTCTGAGGTTTTGTTTTTCCTCCTTAAGTGGCTGAGCTGCTCTCCACATCTCCAGCAGACCTCATACATTTTTATTGCCATCTGGAGAATACAACAGGTCTTAACAATGGGGCTCTTGCTGAAAAAACTGCTTACTGTGGAGACCAACTCAAAGTCAACTTGACTAATTTGGCTGCCCATGACCTAGTGCGTGTGTGTTTGCATCTGGCCTAAGCATGGGGGAACATGAAAGTATGCTATAATTGTATTGTTTTCTTGGATACCTGCTAGATTGTTAAGGTAGCTATTGTTCAGTTTCTATCAGCGGGTTTTACACATACAGTAAAGGCTCAGAAGTGTTAGTAAAACTGTAAAGAAGTAGAAAAATATTGTGGTAAATGGCCTGTATTTATATAGCGCTTTACTAGTCCCTAAGGACCCCAAAGCGCTTTACATATCCAGTCATCCACCCAATTACACACTGGTGATGGCAAGCTAGATTGTAGCCACAGCCACCCTGGGGCGCACTGACAGAGGCGAGGCTGCCGGACACTGGCGCCGCCGGGCCCTCTGACCACCACCAGTAGGCAATGGGTGAAGTGTCTTGCCCAAGGACACAACAACTGAGACTGTCCGAGCTGGGGCTCGAACCGGCAACCTTCCGATTACAAGGTGAACTCCCAACTCTTGAGCCACGATCGCCCCACGCCCCATTATGCCTGTGTACCGCTAGCTGATGTTGAGCCATTTATATTAAGCTGGAGTTGACTAAAACAGTGTGCTTGGCTCACCGGATACATCAAGTGAAGAATTACAGGGATTCAAACCAACGTCGAGGCTGCAAACCCCAACTTGCCTGTAGTTAAGCCAACTTTTCAACCAATCCTCATTTAAAATGTGAATGTGCAGAAGGCTAATTTACCAGTCTTATTTATTAGGAGGAAAAAAACAAACAAAATAAACAAAAATCATAAATGAGGTTAAACAGTGTCAAACATTACATCTCTATGTAGGTGCCAGCTGGAACTGTTAATCACATTCAGTAACACGACTGCCATACGGTTGGCTTTTTGAAGGACTGCATACAAGTGGGTCTCTGTATCCTCTGCATTAAATGTCCATAATATTTCTCTGTGTGTTGCCAGAGAACTACACAAATAGACATCAATGGTGTCGTGAACAAAGTTCACTGTGATTGGGTTCACACTTTTGTTGAATGAAACTATACAGGAGGACCAGACTGAAAGTGCCTTCTGTATATGTATGCATCAAGACTTTGTGCGTTTCAGCAAATAATCTTCTCACACTGTGCCTCCCACCTCCCCCTCCTTCCCTTCCGTTTCCCAGGAGCACCGTAGTTTGATGGGCCGTCCCAGACGCCAGTTGACATTTTGTCCCCAGTCCGACCGGATGCCACATAAAAAATTCACTCAGGCGAGAAGCCAGGAGGAATACCCAGCTCCCCCCTTCCCCCAGCGTGTGCATCTCAGTGGGGAGTGCAAGGTGAGCAGAACTTGAGCTTGTCATGGCTGCACGCCTCTGACAAACATAAGTAGATGCTAATGGCAAAATCGTGACAGAGCAGAGTCCCACCACCATATGGCTAATTGCCACAACAATATCCTCTGTGTTATTAATCACGTTTTCATAGTGTGCCATGATAATTGGAATAATTAGGAGGGGAACAGGCACTGGGACGCCTCTGCAACATCCCTTGCTTGGAAAAAATGAGAAACCTTGCAAAAAATGTGACACTTTCCTTTCTCTGTCCTCCACGTTTGATCCTCCCTTGTGCCTGCAAGTATTCTCACTCACCTTCTTCCCCTTTCTTTTGCCTACAGTTTCCTCCCCTGTTCAATCCCTGAGCCTCCTTTAGCTTGCTAATCACTCTCTTGCTCCCCATTTCCCCATCTTGTTTACAGTTTTGCAGTGAAAAATGGAGTTGATAATTAATGAATACAGTGACTTATCGTGCCTATCGTGGGGACTTTGGCTATGAGTCGTTCTGGGGTGTGTTGGGGGCATTTCAGGTAGCTGAATGAGGCCACATGCACTACTGAGTCTGAACAATGACTATTGCAAGGGGTTAACTCTTTATGGGTCAGGCCATTGCTTTCTCACTTATTTGTTTATTTTATTTATTTTTTATTAATTTTTTTTTTTTACAGTAGTGCAGGTTGCCATATTTTAATTTGGTCTGCTATAATGTGTGTGTGTGTGTAGGGGGGAAGAGGTCAGTGAGTCATAGCTGCATGGTTGTGCTGCAACTGATAAATGTTTAATACATTATTCAGAATCATACTGGTTGTGCAGGGTTTTCAGACCTTCACAATTCAATAGGTACTCCTCGAGCACTTTATAGCATCCTGTGGGCTATGATTTACTATTCAGCAAGCTGCTCTGCAGTTTGGCCCATAAATTTCCCCGTTTATCCGGAAGCAACCTTAATGCCTCGGTGATATCCCGTGCATTTTGAGAACCTAACTCTATTGATTCTGACAGCAAGTCAATCAATAGGACATCTGTAGCATTACAGGGAATTCCGGTTGCTTGTTTTTCCTCTGCCGAAACAGTTCAAGAGAAGAATCCAACTTTTCAGTGCAGCTAGTATTAAAGATGCCATTCCTTGAGCTGCGTGGCCTCCATCAGAAAAATAATGGGTGGATTGAAGGAGATACAAAGATGGAGGTCATCAGTGGGACGGGCGAGAAGTAATCATAGAAAAGCAATCAGAGTAAATAGGGTAGAAATATGGAGTCAGGACATAGATTATAGTAATGATCTATAAACAGAAGCAGCTCCTGTTGTGGCTGTTGTTTCCTGTTTATTGGAGAAGCACTGCTGAGGTACTTGAGACGGCGTTGCTGTAACAGTTTTCACTGTAGGTTTCTTCGATGCCTCCTGTTGGTTCCAAACGTCTTGCCCTGACATGTGGAAACGAATCAATCGGTTTATTAATGCCGTAAGGCACAGCGTCACTACAGCAAACTGTAACTATGCCTATTTCTAAAGCGAAATCTGAATTACATTTCATCTGTAAATTACTTTCCCTATGTGTTAATATGTTCAGGATTTTTTTTTATTTTTATTTTTTATGCCTCACATATTTTCACTCCAATAACAAAGGGTGTGCTTATGCATTTATGCGGATTAAAGCTTTGAAATATAAGATGTCTTTTATGTATCGCAATCATTTCATATAGGTAGTTTCGGGTAGGTTTTGTTTTTGCCTGTAGATCCTTCTGATATTTTTTTTGTGGAACACCTTGAGCAAGGCCTTGAAATATTTGGGGGGGGGGAAGTGGAATGAGGTTTAGAGAATCACTTGTTGTATTTTATAATTTCACTGTTTTCTCTAATCACTCTGAGGGTCTCCATAATGACTAGACTCTCTATTTAAGCAATTAGCCTCTCGCGGGCACCCTGTTAACACCATTCACACCTCCCTCAGTATCACTTATCAACACTTCAGATGACACAGCCGAAGACCAAGCTATTTTTTCCTTGCCACACTTCCCACTCATTCACTTCTCTTTTTCACAACTCTCTCTATTTCTTGCTCCATCATCCTCTCACTCTGTCATCCAAAGACATGTAGTCTACACTCTTACAAAGGCACAGATCCCCACACCTCATCGGTTTTGTGCAAATACAGATAATAATTGTTGTTAAGTTAAACCTCAGTGGGTCAAGTTTAAAAAGCACAGATTTTAAAAAGTGCTGCTGTCCCAAGGTCAGCATGCTTTTATGTCAACGTGTGTCCTCGGCTAGAGAATTGTACCCTAAAATATCTGAAAGTAAAAATTTTGTTTTTTCTTACTAGTAATTATCAACTCAAATTTTAATGAGGCTGTAATACTGGAGTTATACTCATGAGATACACAATTAGAAACATTAAAACCACTGACAGGCCAAGTTAATAACATTCATTATATAATTACAGTGGCAGCTGTCAAAAGGTGGGATATATTAAGCACCGAGTGAACACTCAGTTCTCGAGGTTGATGGGAAGCAGAAAAAATCAGCAACCTCCAGGATCTGAAATGACTTTGACAAGTCCAATTGTGATGGTTAGATGAGTAGATTGAGTGGGTCATCTCCAAAATGGCAGGTGTTATGGAGAGTTCTTGGTATGCTGTAGGTCTGGTACCTACCAAAAGTGGCCCAGGGAAGAATAAATGTTGAACTAGTGACAGGGCTGTGGGTACCTAAGTCGATGCATGTGGAGAGTGAAAGCCGGCTCATGGAGTCTCATAGAAAAGCCACTGTAGCAGTTGGTTGTACCTTTTGTGTGGATGAGGTCGCTCATGTTGTAAGTGTTTAAATGGTCCTATTTTAGTCCAACTGACTTTAATTCATACGTTGCAGACACTGCAACAGCATATAAATCCAAGCCAACATGACGAGCTGATTGATGAGCTACACAACTTTGTCTTGGTTGGGAGACCAGGCCTCAGCATCACCTGATGTGTTAACACCAGAGGAAGTTTGGAACTATTGTTGAGTCAGCAGAGAGTTGGTTACTTCTACCCACCATGCTCTTCAGCACTCAGTCACCCCATCCTGTAAATTCATGTGGTCTGCCACCTGCCACCTTGCTGTGGTTCCTATGCTTTCACTTTGCAATAATACCACTTATAGTTGATCATGGAATATCTAAGAGGACTGACATTTCACAAACGGACTTGTTGCAGTGGTGAGATTGTATTACAGTACTGTGCTCAAATTCTGTGAGCTTTCTAGAACAGCCCATTCTTCCACATGTTCACCTATTTGTAAAAACAGACTTCATTGCTACATGCTGGATTTTACCTGTGGCAACAGGACTGAAAGCACCTGAATTCTAACTTTAAGAGGTGTGGCCTAATACGTTTACGCACATAGTGAAGTTAGTGGTGTATCAGCAAGAGGAAGCCCTACATAACAGTGAAGGTCTGTGCATCTCTAAAACCAACTCTAGCCCTGGCTCCTCCACTGGTGCCTTCCACAAACTTTAGCTGCTGTTGTGTTCATGGTTTCATTCACTGACCACCTGCCCTTGAGCATAGCTTGTCAAGGGGTTTAAGTCAAAAATCATCCTCACTTGTGAACTTTCAATAAGTTAGGGAGAATTAGGTGGAGATATTTCCCCAGTTGTCCTTTTCCACATGTAGCTCACCTTTAATCATTCCTATGATTGGCACATTACCCCAGAACTTGATTATAGAGCAATAAAAGAAGGCAGCCTGAGCTGATGAACCAAGCTTTCTTTGAAAAGGTGTGTGTGTGGGTTTTTTTTATTTTTATTTTTTTATTATGTTGCTCTTTGTTGTTTGCTTTCTCTTCTGTTTTTTTTCTCCATACAGGTGATCCAGGTGTTTTTTTTTTTCTTTCCCCCCTTCTCACCGTCTCTTCTCCCCTTTGGTTTTCTTTCTCTCCCTCTCTTTCTTTCATTCTTTCTCCCTGTCCTATCCCCCAGTCATGTCTGTCCCGTTTGTAGCAACTGAAAATAAAATAAATTCATAATTATAATAAAGGTCAATCAAATGGACCAATATGGCAAGGCCATGATGATCCACTTGGTAAAATAAATCCGCTTGGCATCTTTCTTGGCCTTAAGACAACAATTCTGATGGCTAAAGATCCAAACGGGACACAAAAAAAAAAAAAAGTGTGTCCGATCGACCGACACAGAGGTCAGCACCACGGTACACTAAGGGAAGGGCACAGGCAGCGTGACTCTGTGGAAAATGATCTGCAGGGAAACTTTGGTCCCAATATTATTGTGGATGTTATTTTTACTTGTTCTGCAATAGCGTTTAGGTAATAATACTGCTTTACGGCAGTTTCATTGCAGAAGGATAAAATACCCTGCAACACTTCAAAAAATATCCAGGGTTAGTTTGTGTCTTGCTGTGTTCATGTATCTCTACTTTGAGCATAAACGTATTTACACAGACTTACTCTTTTTGATTCAGATGAAAGCACCATATATCTGTACTGTACTTGCTGATCTTTTTTAACTTTTGAAACTAATTGTAACTGAAATAAGAAAGGCAGGAAGTCACCTAAGCCACTTGAATACTGATATATCTTGAGGTTAGTGTGACTAGGGTCTGTTTAAAAGCTCAAAGTTACTGTTGGGATAAATAAAACGGTATAGATTTTAGCTGATAAGCAGACAGCATTAAAAGGAGGATTGGCGTTTGTTAGTGGGGTATGTTCTGGTCAGTCCTCAGTTTTTAACAGTGTTTGTTAAATAACTGAAGATTCTTTGTATACATCCTTCTCTTCAGGCACAATTTTAGCTCCTTTAAAAAAAGAAAGAAAGAAAAAAAAAAAACACAAAACCTGTTGCCTTCTTCTCTGGACTTGAGTTGTTTAGAAAAATTATGGCTCCTCAGCGCCACCCACTCAGGTTAACTGAACCATCCTAATTATTTGGCCTCTTCAGCATCTGCCTGCAAGAAATGTTTATAGCCTGCCAGCAAACTCCAATCTGTCACAGAGACATCGAATACTAT